TCTCTCTCTCTCTCTCTCAAAAGCATAAGAGTGCCTTTCTCCCAAAAGTACAGTATGAAGATGACAGCTAAGCCCAGACAAATATCAATGTGTGTGTATGCACGGTGTGTGTGTGTGTTTTGCAGGAGAATGGGATTTGCTACGGCTGTCTCCCTGGGCTGGGGGAATTTGGTGGCGGAGGTGGAGGATGCTCCTGGGGCCTTTGTAGAGGGCCATTGTCCCGGGGAGCCACGGGGGCGTAGCGCTGTCAACTGAACACAGTCGAGGAGGGGACGCATTGAGTGGCGCAGCTTTGAGGGATGGAGAACAGCAGCAAAGGTTAAAGTGCTGCAGGCTGGCGTGCGTTGAGTTGACAACAAAAGGAGGAGGACAGAAGCAGGGAGAGAAGAGCCAACATACAAGAATGAAAATTAAAATTAAAAGAGGGACAAAAGGAAGACAGCATGTGCCAGTGACTGACAGCATGTGTGATTTGCATTTCAGCAATAACACGTCCAGAAGGTTTGTGTCAAAATCAACCCGATTAACATTAGATACGACATATTTTGATGAATATCTCCAGACTGTCGTTGTGTTTTTCCACCACTGTGTAATCCTACCGCTTGACAGGAACTGTACCGAACCTTGGAAACACAGATTTGACAAGTTTTAATTGGTGTTAGTAAATCTGTGACATGAGAATGGCACAATTAAATTAGCAGAGTGCTAACATTCAAGTTTGTAAAAAAAAAAGAAAGAGAGAAAATGGTCAATGTCTCTCACTCTCATCTCTATTCATCTCCTTTCATCCGTTTGTCCTTGCCTCCTGCTTCTGCCTTGAAAAATACATTTATTTGGACAAAGCTGCCTGACATACCCAAGTATTTAAGAGGAATGCCAGAATCTATTTTATGGGTGATTATCTCAGTACAATCTGAAACCTTAAGTAGCGGGATTATATGCAGCCAAGCTCTATGACGGCCCGATGTAATGCCAGAGATCTCTTGACATGTAATCAATAGTGAATGACTGGCTGAAGATAAACATGAGATTGTGTTTTGTTCTTGCCATCACATTGCACATCGGCGCAGAACATACTTATGACACAAAGAGTCTTATAGGATACATACACCCTCTCATCCTGTCCATTTACCTGCCTGTGCATCTCTTCTGACTCCCGTCTCTCTCGCTCTCTCTCTCTCCCTCCCTCCCTCCTCAGGGAAGCATAGAGGTGCTTAACTGTAAGCAGCCTGGCTAAACCTTCCACCTTCCACAATGAGCTCCCAAAAAGGGGGGAGAGACTATGGCTGAACCTCTCATTAAAGTTCCCAAATCCAATTGTCTTGGTGAGTCAAAGGCCAGACGAGGCTGTGATATTTGGACTTCTAGCGCTGCAGTCTACAGAGAGATGTGCAGTCTGACTAAAGACAAAACAACACCCGTCAGCAAGGAGACAGGCCTACTGGGTTCTGCTGATTGGATAAACATAGCCTTAGATTGGCTGGTTGCTGTTTACTTTCTGAGGGCAAACCAAAGGCACCTAAGCCAACCTCAGATGCAAAGATCCAGTATCTCTACTCTTCCTTTTCCCCTGCACACACCATTCTTGCACCCAGACAATAAAGTCAGTCAATCAGTCAACTCTCTCTCTTTCTTCCTCCCTCTCTCTATCCCTCTCTCCCTCTATTCTGTCTGTAATCTCCGGTGGCTTATCGGAGCATCACCGAGTGAAGTTTTATCTGACCCACCAGGTGTCACAGTGCAACGATCCCGATGCTCGCTACAACCCTGACCAGCAACTGCTCTCAGCTCCTCCTGGCCCCCCACTCATTGATTTTCATGATGCCAGCCAATAATTGAAAGGACATCCATCACACTTTAATTGACATAGCTAATCAGGTTTTATAATTGGATGGGCTTTACTTTAGTCCCCCCCTCTAGCTCTCTAACTCTTTTGCCACACACACCACCACCAATATACCTCTATACCTCTCTGCGGCACGTCACTGCTTTGTTCATTTCCACTTGATGTAATTGCTGCCGAAGAACTTTTGATTCTCTTTGTGTGTGACCTCTCTTCATGATTGACATCCGCCTGCGGATAATCTGTGGATGTTATGAGCGGTTTTCAGAGTTGACCCAGGGCCAATCTCTGTTTGTTCCCCTCTCCTGCAGCTTTCAGTTCAGCTCCTCAGACTCGCTCCAGGGCCGGCTGGTTAGGGATCAGTTTCTGACTTGAGATGGCCCAATATGGACTTATAATTCATCTCCTCTGAGGCGATGTACCAGGCTCCTGTTGAAGTTTGGACTCTTGCCGCATTGGCAGTCAGCACAATGTCCACACCCGATAGTCCTCAACTCTCTCTACCAGCTCCTTTCTCTCTCCTGCATTGATAAATAAAAGCTTTGCAGCCTCCTGCACCTCCTCCTTGGGCATTTATCAAGAGACCTGAGAATATATTTCATCCCATGGCCAATCCCAGTCACCTGCCCGAAGATGAATAACACTGGAGTTCTTAAGGTCAGGGAAATATGGCTACTAAAACTCTCAAAGTGAACGTGACCATTACTATCTCCACAATACAGTCGTCCCATCCCTCAGCGGGTCCCGGTGAAATATGGCCCAAAATAAATGTTCAGCCATTTTTCACACAGCCTATGACCCCAGCTCTGACAAACAAACCCATGACGAGAACATCAGTTGCTTTGCCACCAAATTAGCCCCCAAATTCAAAAGCAGACTAAAGACAGCTTAACAGTTTGAATCACTTGTGACACTCCCAAAACGGGACGCTGCTGCAAATTAAGTTCATTACCTTCATTACACATATTAAGCCAAATAATTGCCTTTATGTTGTCCTTATTTCCTGTGTTTGAGAATACGAGCAGTATTATATTTCCCCCACTATCATTTTTGTGCCCTGTAACACCTGTCTGTCATTTTGGCTCTGGCTCTGTGCCAGTGCATTTATTATTTCCCTGCACAGATTTTGCATAGCTCCATCTTGGGCTTCACTTGTTTGCTTTATGAAAATGATCCTGCCTGGGTCAGATCTGGATTTTGAAGCTGTAACACAAAGCTTGCTGCCCACACATCGATTCTCATATGCCATTTATGGCTTAATGGGGGAGATTAGAGATGTTTGTGAGGTCCTCAGACAGAGGACATCTTTTGTGGCAGAGTGACTATGGCTCAGTATGCAGTAGTATTGTTCAATTACACTGGAGAAGAGAAGGGTGTCTTTTGTTTCAGGAGGAAGTTTTCCATCTCAGCTAATAGCCTGCAGACATGGTTGAAGTATGGGAGTTGCTGACAAGCCAAAACCATCTTGCTATTTTGCTTATTATAATACTTCACACAGCCGTTGTCTATGGAAACACATCTGCTGGGAACAGATTGGGACAGGCATTCTTCAGAGGCCAGCGCTCTGCTCTGCACTGTCAGTGTAAATACTGAGCGACTGTGTGTGTGCATGTTTGTGTGTGTGTAAGGAACAATGATTGGCATCTTTGTGTATATATCTTGCCTCTCTGGGGAGGAGCTGCTGACCTTTGATGATGGGCCGACTGAGCTCCCTGGTTCACTGCACCAACCAAACTCCGCTAACGGTTGACACATGCACGCAGATGCATGCACACTCGCAGACACGTACTCACATGTAGTGCTAACAAATATACACGATGAAACATTAACACACAGTTGCTCTCCATGCATCGGTCTATCCAATCATGTCAGTAAGTGCAAGATACATAATTCAGTTTATTAATGTCAACCAAATCCCTATTTAAACTCTGTTTACCATGCATATCAGCCAAAGAGCACATTTTCTCTATGAGACGCCACCCTGAGACTCATCATTTTTGGATGGGAAGCTGCAATATCTTTCCCTCTTTGATATCTGTAGGGAGCGACAGAGCTCTCCCTTCATGTCCATCTGGTCAGCAGAGGACCCTGCAGTGCCACTTTCCACTCAGCTGCCGGCTCGTGCTGCACGAGCCTTGTGGTTTCTAATCCTGACAGTATGCACATGCCCTATTAATGACATGCAGGGAGTGGCAACACAGTACTGGCTGTTTTACACAAAAAAAATGAAATACACATTGCTGCTATAGAAACGCAAATGCATGTTGAGAACTGCACACATGCCTGCGTGTACGTTTTCCTGGCCGACTTGACTCGGGTTGTGTTTCCATCAGAGGAGAGATGGTTAAATTCTCAGCTCTATTAATAGGTCAGCATCAAAGCACTGGAGCAGGTGAAAAGAGTGTATATTATCTTTGCAGCA